CAACATCACTAGCGTCAGCGTTCAGTATGAAATGTCGGTTTAGGCAGCGGGTATGCATCGGCCAATGTCACCTTGTTGAGCCAATTAAAAGCTCCACAAAACCGGGAGCCGTTGGATATTTCCACTAACACGACCGGCGCCCCCAGGGGCTCGTGAAGGGAGTGTTGATATTCGCCTGCAACATTTGCGCGACTGCTCACCGTACGTGAGCCTTTTTTCACGGGCCCGATCCGATACGAGTTTGGCGATTCGGAGGTGTATTACCCATCTCAATATGATGCTTTATTAGCATCGAGTATCCCAAGTCATAGAGTCCCTTGCTAAAGGTGTCCTCATGATCTCTAAGTAGCTGCACTAATATACTTATTTCTGTGATTATACTGTTAACAATTAATAGTTGTTGTTTTTTTATAACAGTATAATACTACAGTATTCTTTGGGTCTCGGTAAAGTCACGTAGATAGGTTCAAAGAAAATAACAAACTACGACGTTTTGATCACAACACAAGCGTTCGTCATCCGGAAGAGGGGATTTGCTTCTAAAGGTAAACTGTTTATAAAAGTTTGACATGAGCGTAGCCCAAATGTCAGTGGTCAATACAACAATGTTCATAGTTTATTTTCGTAATTATGAAACACGTGTACAGTATTCATACTGTGCTTATTTTTGTGATTACTGTTATCTGCAGTAATCACACGTTTTTGCTGGCCAAAATAAATTTGCAAGCTAAATAAAGGCTCTTTCTTGACATTCGTTCATGTTCTGGTCCCTAACTAGACGAAAGCGCAAGGTATTCCTGTATTGGTGTGATGAGGATAGGCGAATCAGGCCGGGTTGTAACTAGGGGCATTCTGTACTGTAATGGCACTAATATCTGTGCTGCCTGTGGAATGGTAAGTCTCACGGATCCAAGCTTGTACCATCGAGACTCAATTGGACTCGTTCCCATGTAACCGATCCCCCGACAGCATCTCCACACAACCTTGGTTTGTGAGTATCTTCAGCGGCAGGCAATTTAGAAAATTGGTCACCAACAGACACGGAACCGCCGAGGCTGTGGAGGCTAACACAGGACTGGCTACCTGCAGCTCCCCGATACAGAGGTCTGTGCACACCTGTCCAATGACACCCATGGTCCCTCCGTTAGTGGCTACGTACTGGTTGTGTACTAGTAGTAACCGCTGGAACCGACAGGGAAATACATCTAAAATATGCACATACATGATGGTGTCGGATGCCCCAGTATCCACGCGCATAAGCACGCTAATTCCTCCTACTGTTCCAAGCAGCACCGACCTAGCCAATTTGCGCCACTGCGTCCCTGAACTCAGCCAGTGTTCCTGAGATGCCCCGCCTGTATCTCCCCAGTGATGGACTACGGGTGAGATTCAGAAGGTGGCGGCGGAGGTAAGTGATGGTTCGAGTGTGAGATGGATATGTGAAATGCCAGGGTGCCCGAGGGGTCACGCCTTGCCTGTGGGGGACCAGCCAGTCCCGATGTTGGTGGCCATCCGAACATCCCAGCTGATGGCAGCGGTTCACTCTGGCGTCCCCGCGCTGTGTGGCCAGCGCGATCACAGCGAAGGCCGTCAATGGAGGCGCGGTCGGTGGCCGTTGCCGTTGCTTCCCAGGCTCTCCATCCCCATATTCTCTGCCTGATGTCCTGGTCGTTCCCAGAGAGGTCTCGGATAGTGACGACCATCTCGCTTATGGACGCTTATAGCTCTGCCATTGGTGCTGCCATGCATCTCTGCTGTGGCCCCACTCCCAGGTTCCATCACTGAGGGCTGGTCGTCTGCCGCTTCCTCCCAGTCTCCGACGTGCACGATGACCCGTGGCGGCTTTCTGACCTCTTGTGCCTGGAGACATTTTGCCAGCCACAAGGAGATACGACACTCCTCCACCAAATTGATCGCACCAGTGACAGTCGGCACTCTGTCACCAGAGCATCCAGTGCCAGGCGATCTAGCCGCGGGAAGGCCGCCCGGCCGAGTGTGATCAGCGCCGTCGGATAGGCGAATGGTGACTTCTTCTCCCCCCATCGCCGGCTCTGAAACTTGTGGTTTTGTGCTGGAGGGGGGTTCATAGATCTCAGCCATCTCCCAGTATGTAGATGCCAGTGTGCTCTTCCTCTCCTCGGGGATGGCATCATAGACATGTAACACATCGTCGTTGAATACGGTGGGTAGTGCTTTGAGGGCTTCCTCCTTTAACCAACTAAACATCTTCTATAATGCCTCAAATCTTCGTACAATCTAGCTCCCATCCCCGCCAGCTGCTAGAAACTCGCAGACTGGGCCCAGTCGCTTCGTTATTCGGCTGGTTCTCCCGTGATCTCCTGGTTCTTTTGAGCCTGGAGACCCACTTCGGCCAGCACGGCCTCACTCGTGGATGGCCTGCTCTGCTCTCTGCCTCCCCTCGCTGTTGCTCGGTGGGCCACTGGGCGTCTGCCTCCGCCGGTCGAGAGCCCCCCGGTCCCGCGCCATGCTGGGTCCCTCTTGCTGCTGGGGTGGGTTGCAGGGCCGTTGATCCCTCTGCTCCCTGTTGGAACAACGTTGTAACTTGTTGCAGTAGCATGGAGATTGCGTTGGTCAGTTGGGCCACGTGGCCCTCCAATAATCCCCATCTCTCGGCCGCCTGTGGATCTGCAGGGTTGAGGATGTTTCCCACCAGCTCTGCACCCACATGGCCGGCCCATCCTCCGTTTGTGCAGTCCCAGAGGATGTGGATTCCTCGTTGACCTCGTCCAGGGTCCCGGTGGGTACTTTCTTGCGAACCAGGTGAGACATCGTTTAGTCAATCACACCGCTGCCAGCACTGAAATAAGTCTCTGGCCCTTTTTTTGTTCACAAGGAAAGGTCTTTATTTCATGGCACAGGTCCACATCTTCATCCCTCCTGTCCTGCAATGCGCCAAACTCTGCCTCCTACTCCCTCTTTTAACATCTTCCTGGTTGCACTCCGTCTCTGCCAATAATGATCTCTTGCCCTCACCTGGCCTATCCGTCCCTCCTGACGCTCACCCAACCATCTAGCTCTTTTCCCTTTTGAATGTTCCGGCCAATCTTCTTACTTCCCGTGCCCGAACCAATCAGAGCGTGGAGTGTTTGCTTTTTCCTTCTTGATTACTCTGTCTCAGGGATCACGTGGGACGGTCACTAAATATGTGTAGTAACTAACTCGGAGACGCTAAGATTTGGAGGTACTTATTTTATTTAACCGAGCACCCTTTGCACAATACACACCCTACGCTGGTACACACTCTTCTGGTCACTCGTTTATACACAACTCTACGTGGGTTGCTAGCCTATACACAAGACTAGCCGTCTATCACTGATGGTGCTGAACTGAGACAGCCAACTACCATCTAGCAGCGCAATATCGAGTGAAGACGACAGAGATGATGGCGACGAGACAACAGCGACGATGGTGACGATCTTCAACAGCATGACGGGGATCCCACTCCAAACGACAGCCCCGAGCTCTCGCTCAGGGCCCCTTTTTATGCTCCCAGCATGGCCTCGCTCCGCCCTGGCCACGCCCTCTCTCTATAGCCTACTAGCGGGGAACTCACAAAATGCGCCAACGCAACAAAGTCAACAACGGAGTAACAACAAACCAAAAACACTTCCGGTGAAAACTCGCAACAATAACCCTGGCCCGCAAGGAAGTAACCCATGCCTGACGACCACCGGCATGCCACAGCCCGTGAGCATCGGGAAAGACCTCAGGTCAATCGGCAGCCGCAGCCCAGCTCGCGGCGACAGCCACCCGAAGGACAACATCCCAAATCTGGCTCTCCTCTGCTGAAACGGTGCTCCTGCCAAGTCCATCATCATGCTATGGATGGTGAGATGCATCACGGACTCCCCCCTGCTCCCGCAGCACCAACCTTCGGCACGCTCCTTAAACGGCGGCCATCTGAGCGCATACCCAAGGCAGAGTTCCCTCATCGGACCATCAGACCAAGGCGCCGGCCACCTCAAAGCGGTGCAAAAATGCCGTCCCATCGTCTCCCGCCGCCACAAACTCGCGGACGAGAAGCAGGCGCTCCTGCAGAAGCCGCCGGTGGCGACTTGAGCTTGGCGGGAAAAATTTCCCGCTCGGGTGACAAAATTGGCGGCTGCCCACGCGGGCGGGAACTTTGCAGTTTCCTGCACTGATGCGGCGGCGAAAATCGAGCCGTACGCCTGCTGTCCTCGCACTGCAGCATTTCCGGCAGACTCCGCGGACCTGAGCTGGATGACCAGCTCCGCTGCGACAGAGAGCAGACCCGTGCGACGCCCTGTGAGGTCGCGCCACCCCTCTCTGACCGGCGGCTACAAGGGGCCGACGTCCCTCTCCCGTTGCTCCGCTGCATCTCCACCCCGGGACGGTAGGGGATACGGGGATTGGCTGAGGGAAATGGAGTGAGCGAAGCTTCCAGAAAGGGGCTCGGTGGAAATAAAAGGGGATAGCACAAGGGGAGGGAACGCTTGGAGAGATGAAGTTTGTGCCCCAAGAATCGTAGTCCGGGCTTAGGAATAGTATTGTGTCCGAATAAAGGCTCTTAGTAACTGAAGAAAACACGTGTGTCCGCTTCACTACACATGTATACACTCACCCCCTCGTGTTCCATTCCACCTTCATAGGCGCTCGCCAACAGAACTTGACCCAAAAGTCTGTTAAGGCTATACGATGGATCCTTGATGTGTATAGGTACAGTATACACGTGTATAGGTGTGTATACATATGGGGAGCGGTAGTGTAACGGTTAGTGCACTGCACTACAAACCTGGCATTCCGAGTTCGATTCGCACTCACGGCCAACACCAGTAACGATTATCTGAACCTATCTTCAGCCTCCCCTAGGTTAACTCAGCCTCAAACGAGTATCTAGTGTGGTGTGTAAACATCACCACTGTGGAGGCAAAGGCGGCCGGGCTTGGTGATGGCCACCCACCTCCTCGTGTGCTGTGTCAGCCGGAAAAGGTGCTCGCTGATAGCACTTGCCCCAACAGTCTGTCAAGGCTATACGAGGGATATTTGTCTTTTGTGTGATTGTGTCTCAGAGCCCAAGTATGAGGGGTCGCACCAGGTCCAGAACGGCTTTGGGTGTGGGGTGGGGGCCATGCACCCCCACCACAAAGGTGAGCAACACAATCCAACACAACACATCAAGACATCATAAACCAACACACCACGTCAAGACATAACCAACACAACACATCAAGACATCACAAACTAACACAGCACATCAACACAAACCAACACATCAACACAACAAAAAACAGCCGCTATTCGCTGAGTGGCGGTGACGTCACAACGTAGCTTGTGGCAGGCTAGGTGCACTTTGAGACCACGTGAACTTTCGAAGGTTCACTGCTGGCAGTTCACGGGCCAGACCCAGGTACAGTACCATGGATTGTGCTCCCTGTTGTGCCAATGTGCTGCATTTTTTCCATCCAATGCTCTGCTCGTTGTTGTGAACATCGCTCCTCTGTTGTTGTTGGAGGGCGACTGCCTCCAACTGTCCAGTAACGTCCTTAACGAACCTCTTTCAATCTTCGGCAAGTCCACTCAGCTCCACATCCTCCTGTACCACATCAGTCCATCTCTTATCCAGCCCGTGCCACGCCCGTTTAGCCCCCTCTATCGAAATAGAAGCTGATTGAGCATGTGGTGGCTGGGCATGCGGGCTACATGATCCAGCCAACACATCCTTGCCCGCCCGAGGAGTTCACCAATAGGAACGCGTCCAGATCTTTAAAATATTTGTGAGCTCATAAATGCAGCCTGGTTAAACCCAGGATGCATCGTAGGCAGGCCAGCCTAAATCTTTCAAACTGGCGCAGGTGTTCCATTTAAAGTGGTCCATGTTTCGCAAGCAAAGAGAAGGGAGGGCATGACTGGCTGAGAAGACCCTGGAGCTTCGTATGGAGCGATAGGCGATGTTCCACATAGCAGTGGTATACAGCCGTAGAAAAATATAATGCCGTTCAGCTGATTCGGGTAGATCCAGCTGTGGCTGAGCCTTCAATGTACTCATTGAAGGCTCAGTCGACCGAGAGAAGGCCCAGGACCAGTTCAGATTATTGTCACTGGTGGTGGCCATGAGCGGGAATCTAACTCGGTCACTGAGTTCATATAGCAGTGTGCTAACTACAACACTATCACTCCCAGTATACACACACCCCTGTACACAAAAATAAGACAAAGGTCCCCTGTATAACCCGGACAGACTGTTGGAGCAAATGCTGTAAGCGAGCACCTATGAAGGCCAGAGCAGCACACGAGGGGGTCGGTGGCCGGCACCACGCCCGACCGCCTTTGTATCCCCAGTTGCGATATTTACACACTGCACTAGGTACTCATTTGAGGCTGAGTCGACCTAGAGGAGGCCGTGGACTGATTCAGATAATCGTCACTGGTGTTGGTTGTAGGCCTCGGCAAGGTAAAGTCATTTTTTTTTTTACCGGGTAAAAGGGTAAGTAAGGTGTCGACCATGCCTGGAGGTACGGTAAAGGGTAGGGTAAAGGTAGCGCGAAGTATTACCCGGTAAATACCCTGTTTACCGCTCGCTAAAAGCTCCGTGGCGCAATCCGTGGCCTCCATTTTTAATTGGAATCATTGTCGTAGGACCAGATGGAGACGGACCACGTTCTTGAGGTGGAGGATGATGTTGAGGATGGCAGCAACGGCATTTTCGGGGTCGCTGCAAACAGCAGTCTAAAGAGGCAGCGGCATGCGTTCCCGTGGGAGCACACGCACGATTGGATGGAGGGTGATCCCCATGTGCAGCAAGGAAAGCGGCAGTGCGTGCACTGCTGCAAGTGGTTTTCCTCCCACACAGACGCGTCAGGGTGGAAAGTCCACCTCAATAAGCACAACATGCTCGCCCCAGGCAGTGATGCAGCAAACGCTGAGCCAGCCAGCAATCCCGGATCGCCTCCTGGTAAAGTTTGAGAACGGTGGTTGATTTTGTTATTCAAGGTGCAATCTCTTTGCGAGCCACTGGCAGCGACAAGTTCAATACCTTGGTCCACACATTGACGCAGGGTTACGAGGGCCCGTCGACCCGCACCATGATTCGCAGGATTGTCGAGCATCACGCCATCATGCTGCCCATCGTCGGGGAGTTCTTTTCTAACCTGGAGGTCGCCATTTCGCTCATCATCTCGCTCACCATCGACGGGTGGTCGAACCGCAACCTGAAGGGATTTCGGATGGTCACGGTGCACTGGATCGACAGCAAATCTGGTGTGTCGAAATCCATCCTGCTGACGATCCTCAATGTGCAGTCCGGAAGGGGTGTCGGCAAGCGCATTGGCACCACTCTGTTTGAGCACCTCCAAAGCCTCGACGAAGCTGCTTGCTGTCACCAGCGACAATGGCTCCGATGCGTTCAGTGCTGTCAAGACATTGTTCGCCCTGGTCAATGCGGACGCCAGATATGAGAAGTTGTGGGCTTGCCACCATATTCGCTGCGCCGATCATTCGGTCCAGATCGGCGTCGTCCAAGTTCTCAAACTGATCAAGTCGACCAACGCTGAACTGCGCAAGGCACTCGTCAATATCAGGCGCAAGCAAGGTCGCCCGGCAGTCAGTACTGCCGCGAGGCCGAGATCGCCAAGCTCGCCAGCAAGGAGCCGACGCACCAGGACTCGCCGACCAGGTGGAATTCAACGTTTGACATGAGCGACGACGCCATCAAAAAGTGTGTCCCATTGGACATTATCATGGCGCGTTTCCAGGATGTGATCGGCGTCGGTGCTTTTTCTGAACTGCAGTGGGCAAACATCGAGGGCGTGACAGCATTCGTGCGAAGGCCGCGCCAGGTCATAACCTCGTTGGCGGCGGACCACAAGTCGACATTGGATCTTGTGCCGGTGACGATGGAGCACCTCGTCCGTCATTGCGATCACGGTGAAGCCGCTCTTAGAGCGACCGATGAGTCCTTGACCGCGACGGGGATGAAGGCCGAGCTGGTGTGGTACCGCGACTTCCTGGTTCAGGAACCCGCCATTGTGGCATCCTACTTGAATCCACAGCTGCCTAAAAAGACAGACCAAGATGAGCTGGCTACGCTGAAGGCTACAATCCACTCTGCCCTGCAGCATCGCTACTCGGACGTGCTCGCGATCCCGCCGACGGCAGTCGCTGCCCATATGGAAGAGGGGTTACTGTTCAGTACCCTATTAAGCAACGTCAGTAGCTCCATCGATAACGGCGATGAAGTCGATTGTTTTCTGAGCATGGGCGTCACGATTGCCAGCACCTTCATTGACGTAATACAGTGGTGGTCTTTCCGCAAAGAGCTGCTTCCTGCCCACTACTAAGATGGCTTCTGTCTACTTGGGAGTGCTTGCGACGTCAACTCCCTGCAAACGCGTGAATAGCGGAGCCGGCCGGGAGTTCACATGCGTTCACCAGTCGCTGTTGTCGACGCTCTTCATTCAATCCGTGTGCTTGTGCTTGTGGATCGCGGCAGGCTGCCTGAAAGTTCTGTCTAACTGGGCCAGAGCGGCACAGGATCTTATTGCCTGTTGTTCGTCCGAGGATGGCAGCAATGACGAACTTGATCAGGTTGTTGATGAGATAGTCATAAACGAAGACGACTGGGATGAGGAGGTTATGGAGGATGGTGTCGTCGACAGCCTCAACACCCGATTCGAGAGTATTCTATATAAAGCGCTCTACCTAGCATTTACCTGTTATAAAACTTTTTCATGTGTAGTAGTACCCCAGTAATTACCCTGTAATCGGGTAATTTGTATGGGGTAGGGGTAAAAGGTAGGGTAAAGGTAGGCTCGTTGCTTTTTACCTTTTACCTTACCTTGCTAAAGGGTAAAAGATAAGGGTACAGTGATTGTGTTGTGGTAAAGTGAAAGGTAGGGTAAAGGTAGGCTCGTTGTTTTTACCTTTTACCTTACCTTGCCGCGGTCTAGTTGGTTGTGAGTGGGAATCAAACTCGGGTCCCTGGGTCCGTAATGCAGTGCGCGAACCGCTACACTACCACTCCCCATATAACACAACAACAACTGCCATTCGGCACTAAGTGGCGGTGACGTCACCACGGTACTGTATGGTGCCGGGGCTTGCGAAGCCACGGATGGTAATGTGTTATTATTATGGGCAGCCCGGGTCATGGGATGTAGTACCAGCCCTAGTAGGGCTTGGGTGAGCGCTAGTTAGCGCGGAGGCACCGTGAGCAGTGTGCGGTACGGGCGCCCGGTGAGGGAGCGAGAGGGAGCGTCAGCCAGCCAGGGTTACCTTGGGGCATGATACGCTGGTTGACCTGCTGTCATGTGACCGGATGATATTGGAGGGGGGCAACCGGTGGACGGGGCCGTGGGGCGGTCACATGGTCCAAAAGAGCTCTCGGGAACCTTCGAGAAGGAGCCCAAGAGTCCTGGAAGGTGGAAGGGGCGAAGGGCGGAGCCAGCCCGAGCCCGGGGGGCATATAACGAGGGCCCCGTGAGGAGCTCGAGGTTCTTCATGTGCTGGTGTTACGAAGATCTACGTCGGGGAGAATAAGTCTCAAGCCACGCGGTCCGGGACCCTGTTTGTGGTCCGGACCGGGATAGCAAACCGCGTCTAGTTCTGCTGTAGCGTGGTTAGATGGGCATTCGAGACCCGAGTGTAGATCGTGTTGTGTTGCGTGTTAATGTGAAATAAAGTGTTGCTCCCAAGATAACGTCTGTCACTCAGTTGGACTCACTACACTTGTGCCAGCCTATGTGCACATTAAGACCACGTGAAGTGTCGAACGCCCGCCAGCAGGAGGTCACGGAGCAGACTCAGGTGCCATGCGTCGACTGACCTGAGATGATTGGCCGATGCACCACCTGTGCCCCCTACTGTGGCAGCTTGCTGTGTTTTAGCCACGCGGCGCTCTGCTCATTGTTGTGAGCGTCGCTCCTCTGCTCTCCGTTGTTGCTGGAGGGTGACTGCCTCCAACCGATCTTAACACCACTGATACCCGTCATTGGAAAGTCCACTCAGTTCCACGTATTCTTGTACCACATCGCTCCATCTCTTCTCTAGCCCGTGCTGCACCCGTTAAGCCCCCTTTATCCGTACTCTGGTTTACGAAAGCTTAAAATCAAGATTCCCCTCTATCCGGTCGAACAAACGCTGTTTAGGCTTACGGTGGCTGGGCATGCGGGCTACATGACCCAGCCAACGCAGCCTGTCCTGCCGGGGGAGCTCAGCGATGGGACTTTGTCCAGCTCTTTCAAGGATTTGTGAGCTCCTCACACAATCCAGCCTGCTTAAACCCAGGATGGCTCGTAGGCAGGCCAGCCTAAATGTTTCTAACCAGCTAAGATGTTCTATTTAGGGAGGTCCACGTTTCCGCAAGCGTAGAGAAGGAAGGGCATGACCGTGGCCAAGAAAACCCGAAGCTTCGTGTGGAGCGATAGACCAGGCAGCTTCCACACAGCGTTATGCAGCAGATGGAAAAAATACCGCTCGATTGATTTGGCGTGAGACCTCTGCTGTCAAACCTGTACACCTGTATTATACCTATTCACAAACATGTACACACCTGTATTATACCTATACACACACCTGTACACAGGTAGCGGACAGATCCAGCTGTGGCAGTTTCTGCTGGAGCTGCTGTCGGACGCGGTGAACGCGCACTGCATCACGTGGGAGGGCGCGCGCGGCGAGTTCAAGCTCACAGACCCCGACGAGGTGGCGCGCCGCTGGGGAGCGCGCAAAGCCAAGCCCAACATGAACTACGACAAGCTGAGCCGCGCGCTGCGCTACTACTACGACAAGAACATCATGAGTAAGGTGCACGGCAAGCGCTACGCCTACCGCTTCGACTTCCAGGTGAATGAGAATCAGAAATATTTATTCATACTGGAGCTATGATGCTCTTTTTCCCAGATGTCCAGTTGGGGCGAGTCAGCACCTTTCCCCCATAACATAATACCATCATGGGGGGAATGTAGAACCGGCTCGGGCTGTGGAGCCTCAGAATTTGAGGAGATAGTCACCCCTGTGCGTGACTGGCTGACGTGCAATCTGCCGAGAGAGAACTGCTGAGCCACAAATAATAGCTCAACAATGTGACTTATGTAGAATTTTATAGCAACCAAATACTCTAAACTCATGTTTCTAAATGTGGAGGGGAAAACGGGAGGAACCATGTGACCATGGGGAGAACATGCAAACTTCGAATATACAGGTGTCAGGATCGGGATCAAACCCATGACCTGTATACTAGGTAGTTAATATATCGCCACTGTGACATTACAACTGCCTGGATCACAGGAAGGGGTTCTTGGTGGTCCCCACTTATATACGATTGTAGTGTTGAACATGGAGGTACACACTTGACTTGGAGGCAATACGTTTATTACACAGCCCAACGGGGCTAACTACATGAACTTACACTCTAGACGCTAACAGGGTAAGTACATAACCGGGTCAGTCAGTAACGGCCTGACTGACACACGATGCGAGACCGAAGATCGGAGAGACGTAGCGCCGATGGTTGATTCCAGAGAACAGCCACGAACGCTCTCGAGACAGCCCCTTTATGCTCCTGAGCGTGGCCTCGCTTCGCCTTCGGTCACGCCCCCTTCGAGACCTTACCAGAAGTATCTGGAGCCAGTATCACGTGTCCCTCAAGCCCCCTTTTGGGCCCCCTTTCTACCCTGTGCCGGTCACGTGTCCTCTCGGATTCACCCAGATGGTCACGTGCCCTCTCTCTGCCCGTCGGGCTCGCTTCCCTGCCGTACCTACGCCGGTGCCAGAGAGAGGCACAAGACGCACAGTCCCCAGCTTGTGACCAGAGATGGCGCACACGCCATAGAGACTCTATTAATGTCTCTACACGGTGATGGAATGTGCTAACCTCTAACAACTACCATGGCAAGTTTATCCTCAGTGTGCCAGGAAACATCGTGGCAAGAGATTGTTCAATCCCCTTAGACGCACACAAGATAAAGATCTCCATAGCATTTAAATACTGTTGGGGCAAGTGCTGTTAGCGAGCAACTATGAAGGTCAACACAGCACACGAGGGGGGGGGGGGGTCAGCACCAGTGGCGGCTCCTGCAAAATCTCTCAGGGGGGGGAAATGTCTGGATGATTGATAAGGATAAGGTCCACCCATGCAATGGATAAATTAACAGCTTATGCATGTAAAGGCAACTTCACTTTTTTAATATTAATGAAAAATAAAGTGACTCTTACAATACATCTTGTTTGTTTCTATACTCACTATTAATACAATCCACTCAAGTTTATTTTATTAAAGATTCCACTAGGTGGCGACAAATTATATTGTTGGATGAAACGTGCTTACGTATGATGACGTAAGCACGTTAGGGCGAGCCCTCCCGGAAGTCATAGAGAATGCATTGGAGCGCCCGCCGTTCGAAAAAAAACATCTTTGAATGTAAGTCTATGGGGCCACTCGGGGCGATTCTCAGCCGGAGTGAAATCGCCCAAAAAGAGGCGGTACTCCACAGAACGTGACATGACGCTGATTGGACTATATCCAGAGGCACAGTGACGGCTAGCGTGACTCTGTGGTTGAATGACATTGGTGGTGCGTCGCCCAATCGCCCTAATGAAGAAACCGCCCCTGGTCAGCACCACGCCCGGCCGCGTTTGTACCCCCAGTGATGATGTTTACACCGCACTAGGTACTCATTTGAGGCTGAGTCACTTTCACACACACGCATGTACACGCGGGCGCACACACACGCACACTTCAAGCGTGAGACTGACTCGTTCAATCTCGCGGAAGATTGCTCCTCCAAACGAAATATTTCAGCGGTTCAGGTTACAAGTGCAAGGTCGCGTTTTAAGTCAATGTTAAAACATATTTCATGGAAGCTGGTTCGTAGGTGCGGGTGTTCATGATTCAGGTGTTCGTAAGTCAAGGACTGTTGTACTAATTTGAGACTGAGTCGACCTAGGTGCAACGCACACACTCTCACTCGCTCCGCTCTGTGTGTCTGTGCAGGGGTTGGCCCAGGCGTGCCAGGCTCCGGTTTCGGACCCCACTGCCTATAAACTCCAGTCCGCGCTCACCCCGCGCCACTTCAATTCCAGCTTCCACAAGCTCAACTTGGTCACTGGGGCTGCCGCCCCGGTCTCTCCACCCACCCAGTTCCCCTACCCGTGGGCTCACCACCATCGCCACCACCATCAGCAGCACCAGCAACAGCAGCACCAGCAGCAGCAGCAGGCAATAGTCTCTTCAAGGACCGGCTCATCAGCTCTTGGTGTCCCAGGGCTGCCACATTGGGTCATCAACCTCATTCGCCTCTTCCTCATCGCCGTCCTCCTCTGCTGCCTCCGTCGCTGCTGCTGCCGCTGCTGCCTCCTCGCACCTGGCGCTGCAACCATCGCACCTGTTCGGGGGTCTGGCGTGCGCGTCTCACCTGGGCACGTCTCACCTGGGCCATCATCACCAGCACCACTTCGCAGGGCTCTTCCCAGATGCGCCCTGAGCCCAGCCCACCAGCACTGGGGAAGACAAAGGCCGCCGGGCATGGTGCCGGCCACCTACTCCTTCGTGTTGGCCTTAATAAGTGCTCGCTGACAGCACTTGCCCCAGCAGTCTCTTAAGGTTATATAGGGGATCTCTGTGTTTTGGGAGGAGCGGTAGTGTAGTGGTCATAGCACTATGAACTATGCGACCCGCGTTTGATTCCCGCTCACGGCCAACATCAGTGGCGAATATCGAAACCATTACTGGACCTCCCTTATAGGTCAACTCGGCCTCAAATGAGAACCTGGTGCTGTGTAAACATCAGCACTGGGGAGACAAAGGCGGCCGGGAGCGGTTATGGCCACGCCACCACCTTGTGTGCTGTTACAGCCTTCACAGGTGCTTGCTAACAGCCCTTGCCCCAACAGTCTTAAAGGCTATATGGGGGATCTGTGTCTTTGGGGATGTACTCTAGTTTCTAGTGTGCATGTCTATGTTGTTATGCCTGTGTAAGTGTTATGTTTGAGTGAAAGAGCCGTTGTTAATATATCAGCAGTGTCTTGTCTCATGATGGCCTATTATACAGAGATAGTGACTCAGAAGGGTAAAGATGGGAGCCAGTTTTGACATCTGTACGACGGAACTTGGAAAAGCCATTTGCTGCAAACTGTCAACAGATCTCAAATTCTACGAAATGAAAAAAATGTTGATAACACGTTGGCAGTGGTGTATACGGACGAATAGCTATGGAAGGAAAAGCGGATAACCCGGAGGAAACCCATGCAGAACAGGTGGAGAGAGACACGAAACAAATACACACACACAGAGGCACACGAGTTGGGAATCGATCCCATGCATTTATTTCTGTGATGCATGAGTGTTACCTGCTGGATATTGAGAAAATAAACTTCAACGTATTCATCAAACACTCCCTCTAGAAAGAAAAGAAAAGTGTACAACCCGTGACGTTTCGGGCAAATCCCCTTCTGCACGGGATATAGAGAGAGACCCAGGGGCGGTTTCTTCATTAGGGTGATTGGGCGACGCACCACCAATGTCATTCAACCACAGAGTCACGCTAGCCGTCACTGTGCCTCTGGATATAGTCCAATCAGCGTCATGTCACGTTCTGTGGAGTACCGCCTCTTTTTGGGCGATTTCACTCCGGCTGAGAATCGCCCCGAGTGGCTCCATAGACTTACATTCAAAGATGTTTTTTTCGAACGGCGGGCGCTCCAATGCATTCTCTATGACTTCCGGGAGGGCTCGCCCTAACGTGCTTACGTCATCATACGTAAGCACGTTTCATCCAACAATATAATTTGTCGCCACCTAGTGGAATCTTTAATAAAAGAAACTTGAGTGGATTCTGAGTATAGAAACAAACAAGGAGATGTATTGTAAGAGTCACTTTATTTTTCATTAATATTAAAGAAGTGAAGTTGCCTTTACATGCTTAAGCTGTTAATGTATCCATTGCATGGGTGGACCTTATCCTTATCAATCATCCAGACATTTGCCCCTCCTGAGAGATTTTGCAGGAGCCGCCACTGGAGAGACCACTGTGGCTCGTGTGCTGACCATGGTTCTGTGAGGGCTGAGACGCTCGAGAGATGAACTCCACATCAGATGTGGAGTTGAGCTCAAACCGATGCCCTGTCAAGTGAACTCAACTAAAAGCTAGTTCTATTTTACCAGGTCAGGCCCACTGAGCTATGCAGCTCTTTTTCAGAGCCGACCTGTCCACCAACGATTGCTCAACGAAGTAGGTTATGTGGAAATTTATAGCAGTCAACCAACATATTAGTGTTTTTTTGGGTTCGATCGCGTAAATATAAAACATATGTCGTTAAAACCTGTCACCACCCGACACAGCCAACTAGTAAGGGTTAAATTTCGATTGAAAGCTTTCGTGACTGCAGGGATTCATCTTCTTGGCTCTTTCGGTAAAGTCACGTAGAAGGGAAGTGATAAAATAATAAAAATAAAACATAATAAAATAATTCTCACGACGTTTCGGCTACAACGCCTACGTGACTTTACCGAAAAAACCTAAGAATATGAATCCTTGCAGTCACGAAAGCTTCAAATCTAGAATTATCGCTACAGAGTTTGGTGGTACATGTTTTTTTTCGTAATAGGTTTTTACCCTTTCAACTGGTACAAAAACTGACACCTTTATACATGGCATCATGTTTGCAATAACCAAAACACAAGCAGTCAAAATGCAAACAAAAAGAAACAACTCTGATAATGATATGCACTGTCCTTGAAGTTGATTGGTCCACACCCGAGACAGCTTTTCTTAGAGTCTAGTCTCCATTGGTGTTGGACCAGATGACGCCTTTATCAGAGTTGTTTCTTTTTTTTTGCATTTTGACTGCTTGTGCTGTGGTTATTGCAAACATGCCTTGTATAAAGGTGTCAGTTTTTGTACCAGTTGAAAGGGTAAAAATCTATTACTATATTTTGCCATTGGTTAAGGAGATGTCTCATAATGTTTTTGTCGTTTATTGTGAACTTTCGGTCAAAGTTCCTATGATCACTGTTCAAGTTTATTTATTAGGTATAGTCCTGTGAGCCATTCGGCTCTTGAATCGGGTGCAACCGCAACAAACAAAAAACAAAAACACGAACAAAAAACATCTTAAAGTAAATATGTGACTAAGTGCAAACAGAAAATCCAAGAAAAGACAGCAAAATATTGCAGAAAAAAACACCGTACACCAACGCTGTGTGCAAAAATCCCAGTGGGATGCAAGTCAAACAACAACAACCATACTCTTTGGTTCTTCCAG